GTTTGTGCTCTTCATAAGTATCACCATCAGTGGGCAGTTCATGGCGGCAGAGGGGGCAGGAATTTGTCTTGCTTAGCCAGGGCAGAATGCAGTTGGAATGGAAGAAGTGATGGCAAGGCATCTCAATGGCAGTCTCCTCCTCCTCGAATTCCAAAAGGCACACGGGGCACTTGAGCTCAGACCGACAGCCCCTCATGACTGTCCTGGGGAGGCTCTCAACCGCAGTCTTGGCAGCAGGTGGAGGCAGGTGGTGATCCCAATCTACTCCCAAACCCAAGTCTTCAAAGTCCACACTGATGAAAAGCGACCTCACGATCTCCAGCAGGATGTTGGTTCGGGCCTCCCGCTGGGGGGCCGACGGCTCGCAGTCGTGTTCGTCAAAGTAGGACGCCATCTCTGACACAGCAGCCCTCCGACCCCGCGGACTGCGGCTTCGCGGCTCCGGCCAATAAGCTAGCGAGATGAGAGAAGGTGGCCAATCACAGCACGCGAAAGGCGGACACAGTGGGTCCTCACCCGCACGGAAAGCGGAAGTATTAGCTCTCTCGCCTCTCATTGGTTCGAGTGAGTCAGGTGACCAAAGGCTAAAGCCAATGGCAGGGGCCGGGGCGGATCAGAAAACTTATTTTGGGAGCCTAGCCCAGGCTAGACAGGTACGGGAGTGACGTTTGGGCGCCGTGGGAAGCCGGGTGTCCTCGGTGGGCTCCGTGGCTCAGAGAGTCTCGGCGATGCAGATGCTGAAGGTCCCGGCGCGCAGTCTTCACAGCCCAGGGGGAGAAGGAGTCGGCGCTTCCCGCTGCCCTGCCCCGGGCCCACCGGGCATAATGCACCGCCTGAGCTCTAGTTGGTTCAGGAGTTGGCTCTTGAATCCTCACCTATCTACCCCGCTCAAACAAAACAAACAAACAACAACAACAAACCTTTGTGCTCATTTCCAACCAAGAAAGGGAGTATCCCTGATAGGGAACCTGTGGCCTTACCTGCTCCTGGTTATCAGTGTGACCTTCAGCCCATTGCTCAACTTCTCCCCTTGCTCCTGTAGAATTAGTGGCGTGAATAAAATAAGTAGTTTGTGTTAAGGTCCCCGAAGGAGGTACTCAGGAGGCCGAAAGTGGTGAAGAATTATAAATGTACCAGAGGCCCGGTGCACAAAAATTTGTGCACTGGCAGGGGGGTATCCCTCAGCCCCACTTGTGCCCTCTCACAGTCTGGGACCCCTCGGGAGATAACGACCTGCTGGCTTAGGCCCACTCCCGGGTGGCAGAGGGCAGGCCCAATCCCTAGGTGCCTGCCCCGCAGCCCCTGGTCGGGCTCAGAGCAGGGCCAATTAGGGGGTTGGGGCGCTGCCCCCTGTCACGCACAGAGCAGGGCCCATCAGGGGGGTTGGGGCTCCATACCCTGTCATACACAGAGCAGGGCCGATCAGGGGGTTGGGGC